TCCACTAGAAAGAAAATCGAACTGAGTGAGTGGAGTAGAGATTGGTGGAGGGGACTGCCCCAGTCTTAGTGAGAGCAATGAAGAAAATCTTTCTCAATTCAAGAAAAGACAAATGAAGTGAAACCTGGTCTAACAGCGTTTCTGACACAGGGCACTTTGCTCACGGAAAAGCCCTTTTTGAACATCACATGAAAGGCATGACCTTGGGAGCTCAGGAACTATCAACTCAGTTTTAGAGTTTTGCAAGAGGTCGTATTGTCTGAGGAAATTAGGAAAAGGGGTAAAGGCATAGGATTCTAAATAAGTGGATAGGGCTGGCGCTGTGGCGTAGCAGGTAAAGCTGCCACCTGCAGTGCCAGCATCCCATATGGGTGCTGGTTTGAGACCTGGCTGCTCCATTTCCAATCCAGCTCTCTGCTATGGCCTGGGATAGCAGTAGAAGATGGCCCAAGTCCTTGGGCCCCTGCACCCACATGGGAGACTCGGAAGAAGCTCCTGGCTTTGGATCAGCACAGCTCCAGCTGTTGTGGTCAATTGGGAAATGAGCCAGTGGATGGAAGATCTACCTCTGCCTCTGTCTCTGTGTAACTCTGCCTTTCAAATAAATAAAATAAATTTTAAAATGAAATAAAATAAAACAAAATAGTTTGATGGTACAAAAAATTTTAAAAACCAAAATAAGTGGCCAAGTAGTAAAAAATGATAGACATCTATGTGTGAAGGCACATCAACAAATTTGTGGAAAATAGGATTAAAAGATGTTTATTCTGATGTAAAAATTTTTTACCATATTTAGATTTTTTATAACATACACTTTCCATGAACTTTTTGAAGACCCCTTGTATTCTAAATGTTTGTTTACTTTTGTGAAAAGAACACACACACAAAAGGTAATAAAGCTATCATCCTTTTTAAGGTGGCCCTGAAAACAGCACATTGATTACAGTTGTTCAGGCTCCACCACTGACTAGCTGTGGTATTTTTTTTTTAAGATTTATTTATTTTATTTGAAAGTCAGAGCTACACAGAGAAGGAGGGGCAGAGAGAGAGAGAGAGAGAGAGGTCTTCCATACACTGGTTCACTCCCCAGAGAGCCGTAATGGCTGGAGCTGTGCTGATCCAAAGCCAAGAGCCAGGAGCTTCTTCCAGGTCTCCCACGCAGGTGCAGGGGCCTAAGGATTTGGGCCATCTTCTGCTGCTTTCCCAGGCCATAGCAGAGAGCTGGATTGGAAGTAGGGCAGCTGGGACTTGAACCGGCACCCACATGGGATGCCAGCACTGCATGTGGCGGCTTTACCAGGTACGCCACCACGCCGGCCCCTAGCTGTGGTATTTTTAACCATTCAAACTTTAGTTTTCTTACTGGTAAAATGAGCACAACAATCCTTCACATAGAATTTTAAGATGCAAGGAGATGATGTATTCTATGTGTGTAGTGCAGTGGCAGGCACATTTGTAGCCCTTGTCTACACTCCTGAGGAATGGTAGTTTTTCTACTTACTGCTTGTTAAATTCTTTATTTAGTTGATGGTAAAGCTCGTGATTCTAAGGTAAGCTGAAAGTATGTCATTGTAAAAATTAAAAGACAAAGAAGAAAGAAGGGTGGAAGGAGGGAGGGTAGGAGAAAGGGAGGAAGGGCAGGTAGGGTGGGAAGAATCATTATGCTCTTAAAATCATACATAAGAAATACATGAAATCTGTTCCCTTTATATAAATTAAGTTTTTTAAAAGAAGTGTAAAAAATGGGATATTTATGACAATTTCACGTAACTAGAAATGTACTACGCGTAAGACATGGAGTAAGAGATACAAAATTGTGTTAAATAAAAACAGTATTTCACAGCATGGCTTTAAAATAACTAGTCGTTCAGATGATTTCTATTCAGCTTATGAAAGGGTTTCTTATCATTGTAATCTTGACATTTTAGATGCTTCATTTGCTGGAATGAGCTACATGGCCATCACTGACCCAAATCTATTAAAGCATAAAGCAACACAAAGGTCTACCACTGTGCTAACAGTAATGGCAAGAAACCAAGGGACAGACACCTCCCTGTGCTTTCAGACCCAGGGCAAAGTTGCCTTGCTTGCACACCGTGAAGAGGCAGTCTGTCCCGGACAAGTAAAATTTATTTGAAAAAAGTGCTTTCTCAGAAGGAGAGAGGCCTTTCCTCTCTCCTCAAAGCCTCGGCCACTGTCTCCGATCAGAACACAGAAGTGCTCTATGAAGGAAGAATGACAACTGGGCTCCTCTGGAGAGGCTGCAAGTGACAAAAAGAAATGACGGGCTCAGAGAAGGGCGCCCAGTACAAAGGGAGACATTGCCACTGCTGCAGCACTCAATCACAGATGCCACAGCAGGAAGTGGGCATCACTGAGGAACCACAGGCATCTGGCTTCAAAGTCTGGAGAAGGAAGGGCCCGGGCACCACACAGGAATATTCGTCATTCTGTCACCTAGACGCAAAAGGGGTCAGCTGGACCAGGAAAGGCTGATGTTGCTGCCAGATCCACTCATGTTCAAATTGTTCACATGTTCACTGTGACAGTGCCTTTCTGGATGGGGTGGGTGGACAGACCATGGCATTTTATAGACTGGAAAAAATGGACGAGCAACAAGCCCCTCTGTTAAAAAACAGTTGGAAAAACCACAAGCCTAACCTCCCAGGATGCAGCAGGCTATGTGACTTTGGTAGCTATGGTAGCAGCCACTTGGCTGGGCTGCTCGTGTGCATCTCGTTCCATGGGAGTGCACTTGGTGTCCTAGAATCCTCATGGCCTACAGGAGGCTGGTGCTGGCATGACCTCCAGTTTACAGTGTGAGCAAAATGAGACTCCGCGAGTGCTGCTGAGCCATTAAGCGGTCAGTGTGAAATTCCAGACTGCTATTTCAAATAGTGTCCAAGTCTCCTCTCCCATGACGGGTAATTTGGGATTCAGGCAAAATAGGAGAATTTAAGAACTAGATCAAGAAAAGGCACCGGCGTCACCTGCGGCGCCGGCATCCCAGGTTCTGTTCCGGTTGCTCTTCTTCCAGTTCAGCTCTCTGCTGTGGCCCGGGAAGGCAGTGGAGGAGGCCCAGGTGCTTGGGCCCTGCACCTGCGTGGGAGACCAGGAGAAAGCACCTGGCTCCTGGCTTCAGAGCGGCCACTTGGGTGGTGAACCAAGGGAAAAAGGAAGACCTTTCTCTCTCTCTCTCTCTCTCTCTCTCTCTCACTGTCTAACTCTGCCTGTCAAAAAATCAATAAATAAATAACATAAGAAAAGGCATAAATGTTGAGATGAGCAAGCTTTGAATCTTTTGGCTTTCTTTGTTGGGTAGTGATGCCCATGGCATTTTGTCCCCATTCTGAAAATGCTGTCATCTAGGAATATCCCTTTTGCTTTTAAATAGGAAGACTTGTGTCCCTTGGGTCATAGTTAATATCCATCAGTACTGACATCCACCAGTTTTGCTTCATAAAATGTAAATGAGAGAAAGGGCTTTAAAAAGTAGAAACAAGAAAAATTAAATATACAGTAGTCAATGAAGAGAGAGAGGGAGAGCGCGAGGGAGAGAGTAAGCTCACAAATACTAACTTAATCTCCAAATTTCCACAATAGCCAGGGATGGGCCAGACTGAAACCAGGATTTGAAACTCCTACTCAGGTTTCCCAAGTGACTGGGTGTTAGTGACTCAACCACATGAACCCTCTCCTGCTGCTTCACAGGATGCCCATTAGTAGGAAGCTGGAATTTTGAGTGGAACCAGCATTCCAATTCAGGCTCTCCAATCTGGGATGTGGGCATTCCAAGAGATGTCTTAACCACTGTGCCAAATGCTCTCCCCCAGTGTGGGTTTTGATACTGGAAGCAGCAGTGAAAAAAATAGCAAAGTATCAGAACATTGCAAAAAGTTCTGTGAGGGGGCAGTGCTATGGCCCCATTTGGGTGCCAGTTTGAGTTCTGGCTGCTCCAATTCCAATCCAACTCCGTGTTACATGGGAAAGCAGCAGAGAATGGCCCAGGTCCTTCGGCCCCTGCACACATGTGGGAGACCTGGATGAAGCTCCTGGCTCCTGTTTTTAGCCTGGCCAGCTAGGCATTTATGGAAGTTATTTATGGAAGTTAGCAATCACCCCACAGAGAATAACAGGACTGAAGGGATGGACATAGTTACTCTGCATCAATGGTGAGTTTGCCTTAAGATATTTTCAGACTCCAGAGGTAAAGGAGTTATTATTCTAGAGTTTTCCTGCTGCAGAAATTATGGATGCCACTCTGTACTAGTCAACATTGATCATGAATGAGGGGACACAAAGTCTAACTATTTAAAAGCAAAGGGAATATTTGTACATTGTAACAATTCTATAATGAAAGCAAAATGCCATGGGAGCATTGCTTTCCAACCAAGAAAGCAAAAAGCTTCAAAACTTGCTCATGTCTGCATTTTCACTTTATGTGCACATTTTCCTTTATGTTTTCTTTTATGCTTATTGATGAATGATGGAGGTACTGACATGTATATTTTTAAATCCAGTTATTATGTATGAACAAGAGAAAGTTGAAGACAGGTATATGGGTAGGCAATTTTTACTTAAATATATCCATAAAATGTAACTGAAGAAGGTAGTGAACAGTAGCTGAGAAATAAAAATTATGACAACCAGGAATTGAGAGAAATTGAGTGGGTTTGAATAGAATTCCATGAAAGAGGAATGGGCTGAGTATCCCATATCCAGAATGCTTGATAACAGAAGTGTTTTAAGTTTGGATTTTTCCAGATTTTGGAATATTTGCATATATGTGTATATAATAAGCTATCTTAAGGGTGGAATCAAGACTAACATGAAATTCATTTATGTTTCATGTATGTTATACCCATGGCCTGAATATAATTTCAAACAATAGTGTTAATGTGCCTCCATTCTGACTGCAACACATCATGTGAGGTCAGGTGTGGAATTTTCCACTTGTGATGTTCTATAGGAACTCAAAAAGATTCCGACTTTGGGGCATTCTGGACTTCAGATTTTCAGATTAGAATGCTCAACCTGTTGTGTCCTATGCTAGCACTGTGGAAAATTCAGAGCCAGCACTGAGAGTGACCTGAACCTGCATGAATCTGCAAGGTGTGAAAGCAGCGTCTTGGGAACACGCTCAGAGGTATCCCGTACAGTAGCTCAGGTCCACTTTAGAAGACAAACCTTGAGACAGTTTACAAAACCATGATGAGGAGCAAAGTACAAACATAATGGAAATTTAGAGTCAGTGGCACAGTGCTGAGCACTGTAAAAGTCAGAACTTTCTGGCTTTTTTAAAATACAGATTTATTTTGAGAGTTATAGAGAGAGACACACACACACACACACACACAGAGAGAGAGAGAGAGAGAGAGAGAAAGAGGGAGAGAGAGAGAGAGATCTTCCATTCACTGGTTTACTTCCCAGAAAGGCAAAACAGCCAGTGCTGAGCCAGAATGAAATCAGGAGCCAGGAGTTTCATCCAGGTCTCCCATTTGGATGTCAGGGGCCCAAACACACTGGCCATCTTCTGTTGTTTTTCCCAGCCCATTAGTAGGGAGCTGGACCATAAATGGAGAAGCCAGGACATGAACTGGTGACCAGGTGGGATGCCAGCATTGCAGGCGGCAGCTTTACTCACTACACCACAACCCTGGCTCCTAAATTTCAGAACTTTCTTAAGCATCTGTGGGTCAGGTACTGTGCTAAGCCCCTTTTGTGGACTTCCTCAATATCTTTGTAATAATTTCTTGTATTACATATAACTGAATGTCCCTATTTTATAAACAAGAATGCCAACACAGATTAATTTATCCAAAGTTATTCGGCTTAGTAATGACTCAAGAGCAAAAGAAACTCACACAGGGTGTGTCTGCAACCTGAACTCTTGGTCCTTTGGCCATCTGCCTAGATTGCAGGACATGTAGGTATGCAGGAGTCCCATAGGACCTCTGATCCAGATCAGCCTCTTGATCCAGCATGCATTTTGCAGTTCAATTCAAATGGAATGAGTATAATCCACATGGAATTCTGAGTTTCCTTACACACTTGGTTTTTCACACTGAGTTAGTTGCACCAGTACTTAGAAGTCAAAGCACTGAAGCTAAGGTTAAAAGTCAATGACAGGAGCACGGGGCTGCAAGAGTTAGACATTGACTCTAGTCTCTTCTGTGCCAGAGGCTCACAACGTGAACACAGACCAATCACTTATCCTCAATGAAATCAAGGATTCATCACATTTGAGGCCACATTAAATGCTGGAATGTGATGATTCAGACAAGCATTTTCAATGAATTGATAACAGAGTGGAAACATTGAGCATGACTTGTGTTGAGTATCATCAGCTAATATGACTTTCAACTTCCATATATTACTTTTGCATATGCATTTATGTTCCCTCTTTGTATTTCAAAATGAATGCTAAATAAATAGATCACAAAAGGCATGCAAATGTCACATACTATTTTCTTGTCATAGGACTCTCCACTGCTGTAGGTTGTAGCCAGTGTGGACGAACATTCTTCCAGGTACCATGGTTTCTTTCCACTTTCTGCTGTGCTGCTAATGGAGATAGTATAGATGCTGTTGGTGTAGCCATCACAGGAACAGTGATCTTTGCTTCTTCCACCATTTCCAGAGGCCCACACAAATACAGAACCAAGACCTCTCCTCCCCTGTACACAAACAGAAAAAGCTAAATGAGGGTGAGAAAAGACAAAGGCCGTAGACTACATCCAGAGAAGGCTGGAATCAACATTTCCAAATTAGATATTTGCAGAAAATGTATGATGCTACTTTCAAAATGTGCTGGATTTCAGCTGTTTTTTGAGGGAAGAGGAGTTGATTTTATAAACTATGTCATAAACATAAGAACCACCAATGAGCTGGATATTTAATGCCCAATATTTATGGATGGAGCACAATTCTAAATGCTTTACATGAGTTTAATTGCATTGTTTCAGCAACTCACTGAGATCATTACAATGTTTTTCCCTATTGTACAGTTAAGGGACTGAGGGACAAGGTTAGGTAAGTTACTAAGGTCATACAGTATACATGGGAGGCCTAACCTTTGAACCCAGGCAGTCGGAATGAGGAGCTGGAATGTTATAATTGCAATCACCACAGTTATATAATACTGCAAATCTTTGTATTCACTGTGAAACAAGTGCTATTGGCATCTTCATTTAATAACTGAGGAACATGAATTATAGAGAGATGACATGCATGTCTATATAAAATCCCAGTACCAGTGAGTAGCAGAAGCAAATACTAACTCTACTTCTTACACATGGTATGAACTGAGTAACTACTTCTTACACACGGTATGAACACTAATAACTGAGAGATGTTCATGGATGCCAACCAAACAGAAGAATTTAAGATCACATATGTTTGAGAATCCCTGGGTCTAATAAATTAATGAAATTTCTTTATTGCAAGTCTTCTAGGAGCTTTTCATAAGTGAACGCTCACCACAAAATTCTCAGTAAGATATATTCTTATTTAAGTGTCAAACATTCTTGATAATAGATCTCTTTAACCAGAGCCTTTAACATTTTCTTACAATGCTAGAAGTTTGCAATCACATTATTTGTGCCAGAACTTGGCAGTTAAGAATAAGATAACTGGAAGACCATCCTGGAGTCATAAATAATTAGGGACTAGAAGCAAGCAGAACATAGATACATGAAGTAAAGTGACTATTCAGTTCTACTATGATGGAAGACTTCAGAGACCACTGAGAAATGAGTCAAATGACAAGTATTTCTAGGGATAGGTATGCTGACTCTCTAAAAAAATTTACTATTTTAAAATTAGGAGGGGCATATTGGAGGACATCATTTTGTAATTAGAAAGTAAGAACCAAGGTCACACAGCTGGTATAGCTGATCTTCTTTTTTCCTTTAAGGCCCTAACTTTCTGGTCACAGGTGGAAGGACAATTATTTTGGATGTTATCTTAGAACTTCGGGAAAAAGAGGCATAGAAAAAAAGATAACAAAGAATCTGGAGGATCCATGATAAATTCTCCTGGAACATAACTCTCCAGGAACAGAATGTTTATGAAAAAATTTAACTGTCCTGAGCATAGATTTCTTTTTGACCTCCAACTTAGAAAAATGCTGTTTATGATTATATAGGAATGGCAAAAATCCATGCAGGGAGAGGGAGATGAACTTCTGGTTGCTGCTGCTGTCGGGGAGCTGGGCCTGGTTCCTATTCCTCATTTTCCAATCAAAATATCATGAAATATAGAGAAGGATGAAAAAGTCATCCATCCATCATAAACTAAGAATCTCATTCACTTTTTGTCAACCTCTAGGAGCAAGGATACCACGCCATCATGGTATGGATGATCAGACTGAGAAACTCTGGGAAAAACTCAGAGAAAATGACATAGCCATGGAGGAAGGAAGAATGTTCCAACTCATCATTAAAACGTTGTCTATTACCAGACACTGAGGGTCTGGGAAGCAGAACAAAATCATGTTCAACCTTACTGGACAGACCTATAGGAGGTGCAAAATACCATCCGCTTTAAACAGCACCATAAAAGATAATATATTAAGAATCTCAAAGCAGTGAAAAAGCACATAAGGGGTGATTAATCACATTTATAAATCTGTGTAACACTATGACTCTGTGCCTATGTATAAAATTCAATTAAGAGATTAAAAAATTTGATTTTAAAAAAATTTAATAAGAAAACAGAAAGTACTTTGTTTTCATGATATACTTACGAATGTAGAATACAAAAATGAAATTATAATAGTCTCCATTTATAAAAAATGTGTATGTATATGTGTGTGTATACACAGAAGTCCATATATGCAAAGTTAGATGCATAAAGCTACCATAAAGTGACAATAGAACAGAAGTTAAGATTAGAGGTTTTTTTATATTCTTTCTTATACCAATTTTCTTTGATTATAATACATATATTTATAAATAGAACCACATTAAGTGATCTACTTGGAGAGAGAACACAGAGATAATTCTTAAGATTTATTTTAAAGATTTATTTATTTGTTCAAAAGTCAGTTACAGAGAGAGAAAGAGAGAGAGAGAGAGAGAAACAGAGTGTTCTTCTACCTTCTGGTTCACTCCCCAAAAGACCACAACAACCAGGGCTGGGCCAAGCCAAAGCCAGGAGCCAGGAGCCAGGAACTTCTTCCAGGTCTCCCACATAGGTGTAGGGGCCCAAGGACTTTGACCATCTTCTGCTGACTTCTCAGGCTTATTAGCAGGGAGCTGGATTGGAAGTGGAGCAGCCAGAAACTGAACTGGTGCCTATATGGGATGCCTGCACTACAGACAGCTGCTTAACCAGCTGTACCAGAGCACCAGCCCCTAAGAGATCATTTTAATTTTATAATATAAAGAGGTTTTACCCAGAGAAGGTTTCCTGAATATTATAGACAACAGTGGCTAACATTTCTAGAAACTTGCAATCTGCCAAGCATTGTACAAACATACTTCCGCTCAACCCAAGCCCATGGTGTTATCAGCATTTTACAGACGAATACACAACGTCTCAGAAATGCCCAATGGAGCCACAGCCAGGCCTTTAAATCTGACTGGAGCCAAAACCAGAGCCATTAGCCCTTATAATAGACTTCTATGGGGCAAAGAGAACTCTAGGGTTTATTGCATAATTCTCAGCCAAATCTGTGTCTTGGTTGAAGTTTGGCATTAGGATCTGAGAGCAGACCAACCCTTGAGTTTTCTTCAGACATGGTGGTGGAATGAAAGCTGAGAGAGAAAGGATGTATGCCTAATTCTGCGAATCCTTAAGAGGCAGGACACAGGTTCTGACCAAAATTTCCCTAGAAATCCCAAATGTAGGGTGGCTATGGGGGAAGTATGGATACTGATCACTCTAACCTGGCAGCATGTCCAGATGGCACAACTATGGAGGGACAATGACATTTCAAAAAGGTCCTCTGGGGACCCACTGGTTGGAAAGAGCTGAGAGTGAGGTGCTGCTGTCCTGAAAATGTCTCTTCAGGACAGAGGTGAAATCCTTATGTTGAGATATTTTAGAGAAATATTTACAACTGAGCATGATGAAGGGAAACCCCAAAGGGCAGTGTAGCATCAGTAACCACCTGCAGGCCAAAAGGGTACACAACAGGGAAGCACTGGAAGGGGTTAATAGGAACTGGTCAGGAGGCATGCCAAACCTGTTGGTCCTGCAAGGAAGGGGGCAGGTGAATGCACCCTAAGACCCCAATATCCTCCTCCCACACTCCCCTTTCTTGCCAGTATGCCCCAGTGGCCAAATCCCACCAGAAGCCAGTGAACCTGGGAGTCCATGGACAGAGGCTGTAGAGATCAGTGAGATTTGGAGAGAAGGAGAGAGGAGAGCTGAAAGGTTGAATGGGAGCTGTGTGTCCTGGTCCTTAAGGTGTGCCATGGATGGAACTATGTTCTCTCAAATTCATATACTGAAGTCCTAAACCCTGATGTGACTATATTTGGAGAAAGTGTCTTTAGTGAGGTGATTAAGGTTAAATGAGGTGATAAACGTGATGCCTTAATCCAAGAGGATTTGTGCCCTCAAAATAGAGAGACATTAGAGAGTTCTCTCTCTCTGAGTGTGGGCACAGAGGAAAGGCCAAATGACAACACAGAGAGAAGCTGCATGTCGAGGAGAGGCCTCACCAGGACCCAGCTCTGCTTCCATCTCAATCTTCCAGCCTCCAGAATTGTGGGAACATGCATGTCTGTTGCTCAAGGCTCCCAGTCTATGGTAGTTGCTTACTACAGCCTGAACTGACTAATACAAACAGGAAGAGATAAACAATGGCCTGCCCCTCCTGGGGGTTCGAGAATCCACGGAGCCTGCCATCATTCTATCCAAGAGGCAATCTGACCTTGCTTTCCTATGTGCAGGGTTTATGATTAAAACTGCAGAAACAAATGGCTAAATTTGCGGGCAGAATGTGCCACAAAGACAGCTGTGAAAGATCTATGGGGTTAATCGGAAGTAATTAGCAATTCAAAGATTTAGTTCCTGCGGATACTCAGGGGGTTTTCATTAGTACAAAATATCCAGAAACTAAAACATATGTGACTAAAAAAAATCTGGACATTTCTCCAAAACTCGGAGTAATTTAAGAAGAAACTCTTAACATGAGGGAGAAGGAAAGGTAGGCAGAGTATTATAAAAATAAAAGAACCTGAGACACATGATTGTTTTACTGAAGCATAGGAAATGACATTTTCTAGCTTGCTAAATATTGTGATTGCAATTGGTTATTTACATATGGCTTTGTATGGAAAAAGGAACCTTCAGTTTAATTGAGCCCCATGTCAAAAGTTAATAAACTTAAGTCAAAATATATTGTGAAATCCATGCAAAGTTCTTTTGAGCAAACTTTAAATATTCTTTTTCAATGTATATCTAAAAGTGCATGTGTTTTTTTTCCTGTGTGTGCCAATAAAAATAAAGTTATATTACCCCATAAGCATTATAACTAAAGAATATAAAGGAACTGGATTTTCTTGTAACTCAGAAGGTCAAAAAAGGCCACTTTATGCTGCATTCCCAATTAAGTCATTTATCCCAAGTTAGGTTTTGGGAGCTTTAGAGCATTATGGAGTAAATTTCTTTCTTTAAAATGGTGTCATTGTTTTTTAGCCAACACAGTTGGGGTTTATTTGTTATTTTAATATTATTTTTTCTGTTCTGTATTGCTTAGCAAGTATTCTTAAAGGGCCATGAATAAATGAAAGAGGTTTCTTGCGGTATAAAAAAAGAGGGAGAAAGATAACATCTATTTATATGTGGTTGCATACTGTACTGTACACTTTCACATATTGTTAGCTAATTTAGTGCAGAATTTAGAATAACACCACCAAGGTAGATATTCTATGGATTTTTACAGATTAGGAAAATGAATAACATTAAGTGGTGTGCCCGCACCATATAATCAGAATATGGTGAAGGCAAGAGGAGAGACCCTGAAGTTGATCAAAACCCATGTATCTGTAAATGCACACAAGAAAAGATACAGTAAACCAACTGCAGAATGAGGAATTTTCATTTATCTGTGATGTATTTCAAGCACAGCCTAAATATAGAATTTACCAAAGCCCTTCGTGGTGCTCCTCCCAAGCTTTGGTGACATTCCTTGTTTCAGAGCCCAATCCTTCCCAAAAGTCTTTTATAGGATATAATGCATGGACATGGGGCTTTTACAAATAAGGTGAGAGGACGGAGAGAGATAAGGACACTTGTAGCTAATGACTTCATCATTGAGATCTGAAGACAGAGCTGTTCATCTTCTTAAAGCCCAAGGGTATTCTGACTCGCATTTCCAAGAAAAATCTCATTCCCTCAAGGAGTAGGATGCATTGAAAGAAAGAGATCTAGTCTAGAAACATAACGGAGATGCAAGGAAATAAAACAAAATATCCTAAAACCCAAACAGAAAAACTCTTAAAAACTATTGGAGCATCCACATAAAACATTTATTCCAGAATTCTAAAATAGACTATTTCTTTAAGCAATTTTAATAATTTTTGAGCCATTATCATCAAAATAAGATGACTTAAGTAACCAGAAAAGAAATACAGTTCAGGGCCACTTCTGTGGCTTAGCGAGTAAGGCCACTGCCTGCAGTGCTGGCATCCCATTTGGGCCCTGGTTTAAGTCCTGGCTGCTCTACTCAGATTCAGCTCTCTGCTATGGCCTGGGAAAGCAGTAGAAGACGACCCAAGTCCTTGGCCCCTGCGCCCGCGTGGGAGACCTGGAAGAAGCTCCTGGCTCCTGGGTTCGGATCAGCAGCTCCATTTGTTGCGGCCATCTGGGGAGTGAGCCAACGGATAGAAGACTTTCTCTTTCTCTCTCTCTCTCTCTCTCTGCCTCTCTGTAACTCTGCCTTTCAAATAAATAAATAAATCTTTTAAAACAAAAAGAAATAGAGTTGACAATTAAAAACAAATCAGAAGCAGATGATTACATGGTTCCCAGTGCCTTGGAGACTGAACTGGTATAACAGGGTAGACAAAGCTGCCTTTGGGATGCACATGGAGAATGAAGTCATAGCACAGATGTAGTAAGATGTCTTTGGGATAAGATCTTAGTAAAGCCTGAGATTTGTTTCTTTAATCAGTGCATTTGAGTAACATGGGGCTGAGGGTAGGAAATTAATTATATGAAACTGCATTAGACCCAGGGAATAAAGTGGGCCACCCTTAACAAACCCTAGAAGATTAGAATAAGATAGAGAAGAGATGTTTTTAGTGGAGTAAAAAGAAAGATTTTGAGGATTAGGAATCTAGAATTCAAGTGCTGATTTTGCCAGGAACAATTCTACATCAAGATACTAAATTTGTCAGGTCAGGGTACCCTCACCTAGAAATTGGTCATGCAAAATTTTTTTTCCTCATCTGCTCCATAGTTGGCAGATATACAAAGAGCATTCTATGCAAAAGACCTCACCATTTTCATTCTAAGCTATTTAGTCTGTCCAAGGATGGTTGAACAGAAAGACTGAAAACACAAATTCAATTATTTTTCCCTTCTCCAGGAAAAAAAAAATGTGCTAAAAGTGGGCTAAAGGCCTACTTTTGTGAATAGTGATCTTTTCCTCCTCATCTCTCTTCTTACCATTCCTTGAGTAACAAGACTTTGCTTCCCTTCCTTGCCTCCCTGACTCGTGCTCACCCATCTTTTCAACTCCACACCAGGTGCACTGTAGTCTGATTTTCTGTGCATACAATCAATTACTAAGTCAAGTTTATGAAGTATTGTTTAGATTCTTTTGACATTTTCATAATACACTGAAAATATTAGCTATAATAATTAGCAATCATACCACTATGATTCACAAATGAGAATCCATTTTTGATGCCTCCTAAGCATGCCGAATGCAGTGACCTTCACTATTCATGGAATAGAGAGCCCAACATGAGTATGGGATCAGTTGCTGATGACAACTATTGCAAGTACTTCTGGAAAAAGTACAAAAATTTAATCATTACATCTCAAGTCTTTTCACAATACTGTTTGTGTGTTAGTCTATGAATGGCCAGCATGCTGTTTGGAATTCCCAGAATGTCAAGATGACTTGAGCTAAATTTTCAAAAGTTGATACTTGGAGATGGTGAGTAATGTGGTCAAAGACTAGCGTGACAACAAATTAGTGCTGTGAATACAGAACTCTCTCATACTGTGGTTCTTGATAATTGGCTACTTTATGTTTATTATGTGAATAGGAAGAAAACAATTGAGTTGCATATCCACCATGTCTGACAGAGTATAAATTTGGTATAGCATCAACTTCCTAAAGACTTAGTTGAATCAATCCTGTTATCAGAGATGCCCTTTGTTCAGAAGGGTTGAACTGA